GGGGGGGGGGGGGGGGGGGGGGGGGGCACCAGAAATGCATGCCTGCCATCACTCCCTGCAGAGATAAATGGTGAAGTGTGAGGATATATTATGAAAACACATGTCAGGCGCAGAACATTTCATGCAACCGTAACCCCCTCTCGGCTAAATGCTCACGACCGGGCAACCGACAAGGAGATGTGGTCATTAAAGACAAAGAAAAAACAACAACAAAAAAAAATGCTTTACAGTTAGAAAGATGAAGGAAAGACTGCAAAGTCCTGTTTGCCAAAAGAAAAGAAAATGCTCATCTTTTTATCGTTAAATGTGGAAAAAATCATTGTTGAGTTGGATCAAAAAAAAGGAAATGTCTGACCTGAGGGAGAATTAATACAAGTAATGTCTTATTTGCTCATTGGCAGGCTGATGTGGATGTTTTCTACACTGTGTCTGTGTGTTTAGGTGGATCCTGGTCAGTTCTTGTCCGTCTGTGAGCTGAGCTCCTCCAGAGCCCCCTGTAGATTAGCATCTGCTTTTGTTCATCTCTGTCAGCAGAACTACATACCAGTGGAGGTCCCGGTCCAGTGCTGTAGGTTTTTACCAACACACAACACACGCACTCGTGCTGTCAGGCTCTGTTTAACTTCAACATGAAACATGTATTCGAGGTTTCAGCTTAGTGTTTCTTCTCTTTTCTTTTTTTTTTTTCTGTCTTCGTTTCAGTTAAAGTATGAAGGAGGGAAAAGCTGATGGCGAGCCAGGATGACAACCCCAGTTAGCAGCTAAATGGACAAATTAACTTTTGGATACCACTGGCAGCGCTGCAATACTGTTGTACTCGTATCTTGTAACCCACACCTCATGCAATGTACATTTGAAGTTGACGTATCATATGTTTTTCACAAGCTGACTCAGATCCTGTGGTCTCAAGGAACTGTCTGTGAGTAGCCTTGACCACTAGCTTACACACAGCAAACACAGCTCACACGACCACTAAATAAACCGATATCATATACTTGACTAACAATTTTATTAGCGACTGCATTTTTCCCTGAGGTCATTCTACCAGCAGCGTGCACGCTTAAAATAAACAAATGACCAACAAACTGCACAGCTGATGGTCAATTTACAGATTTCAAATTTCTAAATAGCATGCCAACTTTGCTGACATCTTAGATTTTCCCCATCTGCAGTTTGCGCATTGTAAGCCGATAAGGATGCTTCTTTCAAGCAAAGGTTATACCTTAAACTAGCCGAGTCTGGGAAAAAAGAGTTGGCAGATTTTTTGCTAATCGCAGCTGGAACATTGCCCTAGAAACAGAAATCTAATCACACTGATAGCATGGGAACATGCTATCAATAGCTAGTAGTTTATCATCAATAATTACAAGATTTAATTTGTCATTATTTGCCAAGAGACAGAAGCTTCAGATGTCTGTTCATAGAGCCATTCTTAGGTTGTTGAGAAAACAAAAATCATATTATAAGGCATATAATCATATTATAAGGCATAATACACTCATACCATCTGTGTATTTCAAACAGATGAGTTTATCATTACTGCTTGGTCATTTTCGGTCCTGGAAGATGGGTATGTAGTTGTGTATTTTGGCCTTCTGTCTCTGTGTGATACACTCAGCAATCCAGATGATGTTGCGGGTCTCCTGCTCTTTCAGTTTGACATAGGAGTAAAACACTCCAAAGTGGAACTGCTGCAGGAAAGCGAGTGTGCTGAGCTTTACCTATGGAATACAACATTACTCAGATTTAGACAGACCAATAATTGTTTTGAATGCCCCTAGGAAATAAAGAATCCACCAGCTGTTGTTTTTTTAATGTATTTTCAGAGGAAAAAAATCAAGCTGGCTGCTCAAATGTTTTAAAACTAAGGATTTCTCAATTTATAAATGTTGATCCATGGATATCATAGTCTTAATTACAAATAATAAACATATCTTACCTCCTGTTCAAGGAATTTCTCCTCAAGAGTCTTAAAATCAGAACCTTGCTCAGGTTCACCAAATATCAGTTTATAGTCCTGTAAGAGAGGTTCAGGTAGAAGTAACCACAGTCAAAATTACATCCCTGATACGTAAACACAGCAATAGGGTCCGAGGACAGCAAACCCGACTCACCGGATAACAGTCTGCCACGGCTTTGACCTGCTCGTGGTCCTCTGCTGTGGTCAGGAGTCTCAGTCCTTCTGGGAACAGTTTGCCACAAGCTGGATACAGCACGGTCCTCTCCGCGTTGCTGAGATCTGTCCCGAAGGAGTTCACCGTGATGAGGAAGGCCCGCCTGTCTGCCTCAAACTGCAGCGCAAAAAATAGATATAATTAAGTTTATCGTCAAGTTTTTTAAACTTTTCTCATGAAGATCATGAGTACCTCCAAGATTGGACACATTGTTTCTTCCGTGGCGCCACCCAGCTTCTTGCAGAAAGAGTGGAAGTCCTCTAAATACGCCTTTTATGGAAAAAAAAACAACAAAAAGCACAAAGTTGGTGTTGCTCATGATGTCTTTGCTATTGTTTCAGAAGTTTATTGGTTTGTCCAGAAGTAACTCTTCCAGCCTCAGCTGTGCTTCTGTGTTCTTTTCTCCTAGAACCCCATTCGATCAACACATATATTTTCATTTTTATTTCTGTGCTGTTGTCAGTGGAAAAAAATCAAGCTGGCTGCCCAAATGTTTTAAAACTAAGGATTTCTCAATTCAGAAATGTTGATCCATGGATATCATAGTCTTAACTAGTGTAAGGTCTAGTGCAGGGGTCACCAACCTTTTTGAAACGGAGGGCTACTTCATGGGTACTGAGTCACACGAAGGGCTACCAATTTGATACACTCTTCTGAAATAATACATTTCCTCAATATCCTTTTAGCTATACTTTATTAATAATCATTAATGATACTCATTTGTGACAACAGTGACAACAAAATGGGAAACATATCAATATCCACCACTTTATCTCTGTTTATCTCAGCAACTGTTAACTTTTTAAATGATCACTTACTGTACATCACTACATTTACATAGGAGTTTCCAATTTCACTAGCCACTGACAAAACCTTTTAACAAATCATGAACTATGTTGCACCATGTTTCAAAAGGTTATCAATTATCTAAGGTTAAAGAAAAATCAACTCACATATTAAAAAGAAATCTGAAATCTCATGACCAAATCTTTGACAGATTGGCATTGCATGCTGTTCACCAGTGTATTGTAATCTGGTGTAACTTGACACTGCAACTGTGAGTGAGTGCATATTCAGATTTTTCTGCCCGTTTCCGGTGGGTAGTTAGCATGCTAGCTTTTGTGACACGAACATTGTGCCGCTTTGCCGTCGCCACAGTTGCCCCGCAAATCAGACACATGCAGGTTTCTTTTACAGTCGTAAAAAAGAACTCCTCCTCCCATTCGTTGTGAAAGTGATACGTTTTCTTTCGTTTTTCTCCCATGTTTTTGGGGTACGAAACTACACCCATCTCCGTTGTGCCCGCTAGCTTACTCTCCACTGACACTGGTTTTGTTTTGTCACGTGCACAATACTGACCTTTGAACTAGAGAAAACTTAAACTTAATATATAATGAAAATATTTTTAAGATATTGTCATTTTAAATCAAATCTATATGAATGCAAGTGTGATTAAAAAAGATAAGCAACGGAACAAAATTAAATTTTAGACGCTGCTCACTATTGAGTTGTGCTATTTTTAGAACAGGCCTGCGGGCGCCTCGGGTGGTCCGTGCGGGCAACCTGGTGCCCGCGGGCACCGTGTTGGTGACCCCTGGTCTAGTGTGAAATCTGGCTACTGTATTTTTCCTCCTAGTTTCACTCAGAATTGCTCGGTTTGGCCTTAGGCCGAGCATGCTGATACGTAGAGCCTTGGGAAGACTGAAAGCTGCCTTGAAATTCTTCCACTTGCGATTAATCTTTTTTCGCGATAGACTCCAAGCAGTTTGGAAATGGCCTTTTCAAACCTATCAAGATTGATGGCGGGCGCTCGTCTGGGATCATTATGGAGGTCTTTCCTCCTTGACACTGCGTTCAAACACAGTAGAAAATGCCTGTGAATGTCTGTATTTACAGAGTCACTTGATGATAATCACTTAAACATGTGCATTTGATCAGGCCCACTTCATTTTTTACATTTTATCTTGCGAGGTCCGAGAATGTAAACATGTTTGAAAGTTAAAAGAGGGTGCTCGTTTTCATAGGACCGTAAGCTTTCAGACATATTGAGACCCTTAACTCCTCTGGGTGTTTCAGACATTTTTATCAGAGTTCTGAAACCTCCAGCACAAACCCTGAACGAACACAAACCCACCATCCATCTGTTTACATAAGACCAGACCCCACGCTCACCTTGTACAGCTTGTTTCTGAGGATCTCCACCTCCATCTCGTCCAAGTTGGTTTCAGTCACAGCATCCTGGAAGAACGGAGCTGCAAATTAAAAAATAAAAGACCAAATTGCACATACACAGTCTTTTCAATTTTCACTTTGAATTATTTATTTTTTGTGGATGATTTCCTGAATGGAAGGAAGGCAAAGGGAATGGGAAACAAATAAAAAGAAAAAAAAATCCAGCAATTCACCACTCTGACTCTGAAGAGGCCTGATCACGCAGAGTATTCCGTGAAATGTTATTGCAAAAGCAACGTGATCCAATGTGAAATTTGATTATTCCCCGCTGAAAAAACACAAACATTCCAATGTGGCACTGCTTAATAAAAACAAAGAAAGACCAAAACAGTGATTTCTACATTATCCGTGACTTTCATGACATGTGAAAGATTATAACTTTAACATGTGCTTTGTTTCTGGTTTTTCTTTTCAACACTATTTGCAGGTAAACACCAATTTTCTCATCTCAAGCCAAATACAAAGTGGTAAGCTTTTCCCTCTTAGAAAACCTTAAAGTTGTTCAGGCGTCAGATACCAATGGATGAAGCCTTTCAGCTATTTTTTCCAATTTTCTAGTAAATGTGTCCTCATCTGGGCAGTCTAACGCCTGTACTCCCTCTTTTCTCTTTTCAGCCATGCCGTTGTTTTCTTGTCTAAAAAAACCCAAACATGTCGTCATAAATGCAAATTAACTTGGCTGAGGGCAAATTGATACAACCCCATCATACATGATGAGTTTTTGGACATATTACTCTCAATAGTCTCGGTCCTTTTCCCGAGCATATAGTGTCCATTTCTCCCCAAACTGATCCTGAAAACTATAGAATCAGACCACAAAACAGGCTCCCATTCTGTTACAGTTTGTCCTGGATGACTGAGTCTGGAGAAGTCAGCATTTGTCATAAGGCTTCTCCTTAAGTTTCGGTTTGTTCGTGTAACTTGTACTTTTGTACTTGACCAAAGTTTTGAATGGTAATCACTTGGCCATCTGGTTATATCATTACTCTCAATGGATACTTGGGATCTGGGGCATCAAAAATCTCCGTTCTCCATAAAGACTAGTACCCCTGCCAATAAAGTTTTAAAATGTCTTCAGATTTACTGAGTGGTACGACAGTATTAATGCACTTTAGAGGGAAATAATAAGACAAATGCTTCCAATATGCTTTTGAGGAATGTTCTTTTAATTGTTTTTCTCACTCTCTCACGTAAATGCTTCGCCCAATTTTTTTGCTAAGCCTTTCATCCATACAACTATAGTACCCTTTGGAATCTGTTGAGGGCCTGAAAGGAAAGAATGGAATGCAAAAACATCCATCCATCCATCATCAATACCGCTTATTCCCTGATGGGGTCGCGGGGGGAACTGGAGCCTATCCCAGTGGTCAACGGGCGAGAGGCAGGGTACACCCTGGACAGTTCGCCAGTCCATCGCAGGGCCACACACAGGACATACAAGGACAAACAACCACGCACACTCACACTCACATTCACTCCTAAGGGCAATTTCCCCAATCTCCAATCAACCTAACATGCAGGTTTTTGGACTGTGGGAGGAAGCCGGAGAACCCGGAGAGAACCCACGCAGACACAGGGAGAACATGCAAACTCCACCCAGAAAGGTCCTGGTTCCCCCGGGATTCGAACCCAGAACCTTCTTGCTGGGAGGCGGCAGTGCTAACCACCACACCCCCGTGATGCAAAAACAAATTAGTGAAAATAAAAATAAAAGTGAAATGTTTAATTCTACATTCTACTCTAATGTCCTTACCACTTTTTCTGACTTAGGGTTGAAGTAATAGAGTTTAAGTATTCTAGAAAATAGATCTATATCAATGAAAATCCCCACATTTCATTTAGTATTTGAAAATCATTTTGTAAAGCTAGACCCACATCACACCTATAGGATGGTTATATAGAAAATCTCTGAAAACTTTTCATTACTCCCAAACCTAATTCGGTTTGGGGTGTAATGAACTGCTTACCCAGCGGCGTGTCCACCAGGATGGACGAATAGAGTTCGTTGGGGGTGCGGGCGATGCCCACGGCTGCCATTTGATCAAAGGCCCCCAGCGGTTGACACCGGGGGAGCAGCTCTGCCACGTCTCTGTGTTTGAGGGCGCCGGTTATCAGCATCACCACGTTGTCGATCATGTAGCTGTAACTATGGTGACAGAGAGGAGAGAATAAATGCTTCTTTGAGCAGGGTTCCCACACAATGTGCCTTTGATTAAACTTTTTTTTTTCATAGAATGGATTACACTGTAATAAGTAGAGGCCTTTGTGAATTACAGAACATATTCCTTCTGTCCATGTGAGTTGGATTAACTCTTAGCAGCTCTGAGCCAAAACAAACAAACAAAGCCCCCCGACGCACTGCTTTTTTAAGCGTGCGGGGAATGGGAAGGTGCCGCGTTGACAAATTCTGACTGCGAGTGTCAGCTTCTACTGATGGACGTCGTGTGAGGTGGATTACGTTATGTAATCCAGGAAGGTAGAGAGCGGTGGCAGGGCGTTGGAGCGCAGGCAGCTGAACTCTGCGAGCAGGCTCTCTCGCAGCTTGCTGTCCAGCAGAGTCACGGTCAGGTCGTCCTCGGACGCGGACAGCAGCCGGCCATAACCCGTGCTCTGAAGGTGCAGTTTCATGTCTGAGACAAGGAGATGAGGAAACACGTTGGATCCATTGACCACATCACTGCCAAATCAGTGACCCTAGGAGGCCCTACGACGACTTTCCAAAGAAAAACGTGTTCTAACCTGAAGCTGATCTTCACTGAGCTGCTCTATAAGCCTCCCAAATAGAAGGAAATTCTGGTAAAGAAGCTTCATTGCTTCCCTAAATGAATTCCAGGTGAAGAAACTGGATGAAGTGATCCCTGTCAAAACTCCGCTGCACCTACCTCTGAGACGCTTTCACACACATGCGCTGACCCTTAGTAAGGCTGTAGCTATACGTATTACATCATTCATTGGCAAAGCTTTGAAAGTTAAACTCGAACTAAAGTCTTACCCTCTAGTGTTTCACACTCGGCCAAATTGTGGTAGTCAGTCTGTGTCAGAATTCCGGCTTTCATTCCTCGAACTAAGCCTTCCAGATATCCATGATCCACGTTAAAACACAGCTCCTGACACCCAGCCATGATGAGACCAAATGACTACCCGGTGAATGATGTCTAGCCCCCTTCTTTTTATAAAAAGTAACTTCTGCCTTATTCCCTTTCTGACTAACACGCACGCTTGTCATTTTCCCTTCCTCTTTCACACCAAGAAAATTCCAAAGCTGCCGTAAAATTAGGCCCTGTCTCAGTTCCTGCTGTCTGCCCAGGGCAGATTAAGTACCGTTATTTTCTGGTCTGCTCTGCTTTTTGTCCAGAGGGGGGGATAAAACGGCCCAAACAAGAAGCAAAGAATGGAGCTGCTGGGGCTATTTCAATAAAAACGTCACTTTCGCGGCTCTGCTATCTTTCAGAGTTTTTAGGTGCTCGAGTTAAGCTGATCTTGTCCGAGTCTTTCTTTTTCTTTTTTTTCTTTTGCATTTATCACACAGCAGAAGGAAACCGTTGACTTTGCGGAGGAAGCAGGCAGTGTTTGCCATTCATCACGTTCCCTGCAGACAGATTTAAATCACATACAATCACCAAGAATTTGTCCTGCACTCCCCCCTATATGTTGGACCTCAGCAGCTTATGAGACACAGAACATATGTTTCACAGAATGGATTAATACCTCAAGGACACAGGACTGGATTTTGTTCTTACTTCCTGAACACCTACCTCTTGAAAATCTTGCAAGCTCAAGAGTTCAGAAGATAAAATATTTTCTGTGAATAATGGAAAAACCCAGCAGGCGCTGTTGCAATGCATCAAATATGCCGCTTTGTGCCATCAGGTAGTTTTCCTTCTCTTCCTTTTATACCAAAACAGAAGACATTATACAGACAAAATGGTAAGGACTCCCTGAGTAGAATTGAAGTATTATGAAACAGCTTTATTTGGATTTGACACAGACTTGCGTCATGTCTATGCACGTCTTTAAGGAATACATGATCTTTTGATTTGCCATCATTGTACAATGAGCTAATGTTTGACATACAATCTAAGCATAGAATATTTTCAGCACTAACTTTTCTTACTTTTCTTACAAGCCAAACTTCTTCAAATAAAGTTTATGAATTTCCACATATGGCATGTCGGTTCACGTTTAGGCGCTTTCACCATATTTCGTCTTGAAATAAACGCTATAACTGGCATACAGTATGTTTATTAGATAACAAAAATAGAAAGTAATTTCAGTTCGTCAAAGCACATATGAAGAATAATACAATTATCACGAAAATACGTTTCCACATTAAGTTTGCATGGGATCTAAAACAAATAAAAAAAACAACCAACGAACAAATGTATTCAATTAAACATTTACTTATGTTGGTCACTACATTGAATACATGATAGGAAAGCTGTAATTGCGGAAGAATATACAGTTAAAATGGGATTTTTCATAAATATGGAACCTCTGATACACTGACTTCTGACCTTACCCCTAATATACATGGAGCAAAGACCTTAATCAAGTGTTCGCTAGTTTGAATTTTCTACAATACGGCTAAAAGAAGAAGAAAAGAAAACTTTGCCAGCTGGTCCAGTGATGGTTCAATTAATCTATGAAGTGGTGGAAATGTCACTCAGAAGTTGGAGCAGGGAGAAATGTTTTTTTCTTTCAATGAAACTCACATTTGTATCTATAAAAGTACCATCTGAGACAGATACACATCCAGAATTTGAAACAAACTAGTTTGGTCATTTGTTTAAAAATACCGATCACTGACAAACAGTGTCAAATTTGTCACGTGTTCTGATCTAACTTGATTTCTTCTGAGCCAGCTGTGCTACTTTCCACCTTTCTGTGTATCAAAAATAAAAATAGGAACAATGGAGAACTTGTTAGGCCTAAACATTCTGAAATATTAACAATCTTATAAGGCTTTGTTTGTGTCTTTGATTAGGTAGGACACTTTCTCTATGTTTAAAAACTATATATTTTTTTTCAAAAATATATGGCTCTGAAATATTGAAAATAAGAAACTGTTACTCCCCCAAAAAAGCTCCAGCTCAAGCCTTTATGTAACATTTCTAAATGCACTGATTATGTCTTTGTATAATCATTCATTTTTGTTAATAAATCATTTATCGCCTTTTGGAGAAACCAAAAGCTTCGCTATTGTACTCCATGATGACCCCCAACAATACCATTGTAAGGCATTAGTTTACGTTTATCAGATAAAATGACATTAAATTCAATACCGACAAAGATGTAATGATGAATAAGTTATTATTGGGTAATCCAGAAAATGACGATCAGTTTAATATTTGAGTTTCATTTTCAAGAAGGTTTTTTTTTTTGTTACAGATCACAGATAAAAAATATGATGACGTTTGATACATGTGTTATGTATATAAATCAATTTTTTCAGTCTCTGCTGTGTGTGAACACCTGTATGTTTCAACTTAGTGGCATTTTGCTTGTATTTGCACATTGGAAATGTCGCAGATCCACTTGTCTGTGCTTCATCTAGGTCCTCTTCAAACACAAGGGTTTCATCCTCCAACAGTGGCAGATGGTGTTGAAGAGCCGACAGCGGCAGGAGGCGCAGGGGTCACAGCACGGCACATGTGAGGAGCAGTTTTCCATCAGGCGGCCACAGCGGCGCGCAGGAGCCATAATGTTTGATTTGTGCTTCTGAAACGGCACAAACGGGGAAAAAAATCCATCAAAAATTACACACAGAAAGAAAAACAAGGGAGGAAATGTTGCCTGAAACACGTCAAAATTCCAGTGGTGTGTGGAGCACAGAGCACGACTTTTAAATCTGTAAAATGTTTCCGCGGAAAGCAGTCGAACTTTAAAGTCGGAGGAGTGCAAAAAACGTGCTTTTTGAGTTTGCCGCATCACGAAAACATTAAAACATTCACCAGGAATGCAAAAGGCCTCCAAAAGGTCTTAAGAGGATATGAAATGACAAATATAAGATACTGAAGGTGTGTCCACTGGTCACAGTGATTGACAAATCTAACATAAGCTTTATTAGTAGCAAAAACGGAAGGGGTGGAAAAGAGGTAAGTTCGTTTCAACCAAACCAAACTACAACATACACTAAAACAAATAAAGATACATCAGATTTGGGCTGTGTGTGTATCAGGTATGTCTGTTAATGACGTCATCAAAATATATGAGCCCAGTAATAGCAAAGGAATTATTACTTTAATAGTTGACTTATTTCATTTAAAATAATTTAAAGTTTAAAACTCACAGTTATGCAAAGTAACTCCAGATGTTTCAGGTAATAGTTTGTAAAAAAAAAAAACTGTCAAGTGTCAGACCTATGTCCCCTTTGTTCCAGACAAAATGAATCTATAAAGTGTTCACCAGCTAAGTAATCCCAAGAATGTCGATGGTGTTCAGACCTCAAACTGTCTCAATGCAACAGTTAGTTTTTCCGAAACCAGAGTGTTGCATTGTCCACTGTTGTGGAAAATTAATTATTCAATTCGCTATACTGTACTTCTGAAATTTAAATAAGTTTGGATAAATCTTATATTCAGAGACAAAAATGTTGTTTATTTAGTTCAATCAATCAGGTTTGATAACTTTATTGTAAAACATGTAATACATTTCCATTCAAATGCAGCCAACAGCTGCATTAGACTTGCTCCAACTTGCAAACATGATATTTTGGTGCTTTTCCCTTCATTGATCTGCGATCTAGGATATGCAAGATGTTTATGTACTGAATGTGTATTTGTCAGTAAAAAAAATTTTTTTTAAATCTAATTGAGGAGGAAATGGGAATACTACTATTAAGAAATAATCCAAATTTAAACTGCAAGCCACTGTTCATTTGTTAAATATTGGCCTTCATGACTGCACGTAAATGATTGAAAACTTACAAGAATGTGAATTTGCTGCTGTGGAGAAATCTTTTGCCTTGCAAACAGCCGCCTGGTCTTTCCTTGGTTCCAAACTAGGATCAAAGATAGAAGATAGACACAACTTATTCACTATCAACTCAGTGCATTGAATCAAATTTCTTAAATTTTCTTTCTGTTTTTTTAAAGCACCTGAAAATGGCATCAACAGAAGCCTGTTCAGTGCCGCTACAAAAGAATTCAATTTACTATTGAAACGTTGAAACAATAAGGCAGCCCTCTGTCTACCTGCCAGTGGTCTCCACAGGTGGCGTCAAGTTCAGATGTCCAGACCGCTTTGGTAAGCTGCTTTTCATTATGGATGGCTTTCAGTTCTGCTCATGGGATATTTCGGACATGTGAGGCAATCCTTGATTAACTGGCATCTTTCCCTAACGTCCTAATTCAGCACTCAAATACCCATCTAAAAAAACAGATATCACGTGATATACTGAAATCGGGCTGAGTGTGTCTGTCCAGCAATTCATCAACAGTCAGAATATGTTTACGAGAGCGGCTCGACACCAGAAAGGTGTCTGAGCATTGTCAGATAATTGGTGGGTGAAAACCGAGACCTTGGCAAGCTGACCCATTGAGGGAATCTGGAATTCCACGTTCCCTCCAAACAAGCCAAGAAAGCTTCACTGACTTGAGGATTTGGGTATCTTTCCAAGCGGGGGCCCGCAGAGAGAGCAAGTATACTCTGTTACTAGGCAGGTTGTCCTGTGTGAATGCCTGTTCTAAATTAAAACAATGGGGCAAGGTGTGCCTTTTTGGTTGGGAGGGAAAAAATATGTTAATGGAAAATTGTTTTGGCTTGTCCACCATTATTTAACTTTTTGACACCATCAAATTTTACTTTGGAACTTGTTCTTTAGTGTGCCAAAACAACCGGGGGGGCGATGGTGAATAAGCAAGCCTTGATGTGTCATATTCTTTTTTTAGACATGGCATTTTCAAATTGTGTGGTGTTCCAACAGAAGTCAAAAAATAAAAGCCTGAGTTATATTTTGATCATAATAAGAACATCTGACATCAGTCAAACAATACAGAACCTTCATCACTCTCACTTTTAAAGCTAAAATTTGGCACACGGACAAAATAAAATAACTCAAAAATCCCTTTTTCCCCACCTTCTCTTGCAGTTCCGCAAAACGGGTCTTAGTAATTTACCAAATTTTTTAATTTATCACTTCAACTTCATATAACTTGGAAAGTTCCTTTCTGATGTCTTCCTTTACTTTATATTATGTTACTTTTTGTCCCTGAAATAATGTAAAGTTGTTCTTAAAACAGCTTTATCTTCATTTATGGGCCTTATTATCCATTCCTAGAAGAATTCTTTCATGGCCAGCAAAGTAGGTGGACATTTTTTAAATTTGTTTTATGGTCAAGTCACTCTGTAGGCGTACGAAAAGCCAGTCAACAAATATGGCAAGTTCTGGAATAGTTTAATCTGTTAATAATAATAATGTGATAAACACCTTTAATTTGGCCGTTAAACTTTGTATCTTTGTAGACTTTTCTAATGCACAGCCATCTAACCATCTGCCACGCATCAAGCAAAAGAGAAAAACAGGCACACACTGCAGAAAACACTTTTTCTTGGCACCTCATGTACATTTTTTAAAAACTTTTGTATGTGCGCGATTCTGTCTTAATTCAACCCATTTTTCACACAAACCTCCCACAAAACAGGTCAAAACCAACCAAAAGCAAATTATTTATGGATTAATTCAATTTTCAGAAGAAAATACATCACTAAAATCAGATTGTCCATTTTTTTAAAAATCCAAATGTAATTCAAATCGAATCGAATGTCCTGGCCGTGTGTTGTTTTCTTTGTTTGATTTTTATCCAAAAGTCTCACCTCATTTTTGAAAACTCGTATATGCCTTAAATCCTGGTCAGTTGTGTGAAACTCAACAAAGCCTTTTAGATCATGTACATGTAGGTCCTCAGTAAAAGCCTATAAACCACAGCAGTTTTGTTTTTATCATTTTGGGGAAAAAATCTAAATCCAATAAACCCTTCTGTAGAAATTGTTTTAACTTCATGCACAATTCTCCAATGCTAACATTAGGGAATTTTGCATCTTATATATCAATCAATCATCATAACTGATAAATAAATTTAACCAAAACAGTTATTGAAATCATTTTGCATTTCTTCAATACAGTAAAATCCTCTGGTATAACTAGGTCTGTATCTATATTATGGATCAAGGCTGGCATTTAAATGAGGTCATAAGCAAATAGCCTCCTTTTAAACTCTTGCAACCAACTTTAGAGCCAGACTTAAGAAGTATGTGGTCAGTTTGAAAACTGGCCAAAGTGTTTTTGGAGATGGTGCCTCAACAAGACTCCTGAGACTCTTTCGGAGCAGAAGCATTTTCTCCTGTTATCTTAGTGATGCTTCAAACTGAGATAAACTGACCAAGAGGTCAGTGTGAACGTGTGGCCTTCAGAGACGCAGCTGGCACAAAGTTGCCCACACTGTTCTATGAACACTGATTGATTTGAAGATAATGATATAAAAGATATGGATTTCTTCAAAAATACTGCATTCATCTGTCATCCGAGTGATCTAAAGAAGTCTCTCAGTAACAAATGGTAAATTTATGATTGATTGGTATCTAAAGAGAAGGCTGATAAGAGCTAAATCTGTCATTCTGTTGTCTTTTCACTCTCATTGACCTTAACATAACTCAGTTTTATTTATATTACGTTGACATCACATCCCCTCCACTCTTTTTTTTTTTTTTTACTTCTAGGGACTTTAAATCAAAACGAAGAGAGGAAATAAGATCATACTTAATTGAATTAGAAATAAAGGTCTGGTCTGCTCTTTTCATGATAGGCGTGGGATTTTTTTTTAGATGATGCAGGAAACAATTGTTCTATAATATAAAAAATAAAAAAAACCTCCTTACGCGTGACATTTTCAGTCTTTCTTGCGTCTTTCTTCGTGTCCTCTGCCCACGAGAGGGGAAAGGAGAGCAGCAGGACGCACAACAAGTGTCTGCCGGAGATCTTCCCCATGATGATGATGATGATGATGGAGCCTGCTGATCACAACAACAACAACAACAACAACAAAAAAGGGAGGGGGAGAGGGAAAAATCACTCTGACGTTTACTGAATAAATCCCATGGCGTCCGTTAGTGATGGGGAAAGAAAAAGAAAAAGGAAAAAAACCTTGCTCTCGGTTGTTTAGGTCCTGCGTCGGCGCGCTCTGTGGTTGCGCAGGAGAAGCCGAGCGGCCGCTAAAGGCTTGCTGGTGAAAAAGCAGGAGAAAAAAAAGAAGAAAAAAAACGCGCCGCCCCCCCACCGGCTGGAGACGCGGCAGGATGCGATGCTCCGACGCTTTTTGGGGGGAGCGGTGGCTGGTGCAGGGGGCCTGATCCGGGGGGCGGGATGGAAGGAAACTGATAAAGACAAGAGGTGGATTCGGTGATGTAGGAGCCACAGCAAAAAGATACCCCCACCCCCACCCCCATCCAGCCCCCCCCCACCCCCTCATAACGTGGGAGTGGGTAAATGATGGAGGTGTCTTCAACCTCTTGTTGATGTAACCTTCTGTTTCCCCCAAAAAAAAGAAGATAAGAATCCTTTTTAAAAGTTTGAGAGTCAGTGGTGTTGCTGAAAAGTCCTCTGCAGTTGCCATGGTTACCTGCCACCTCAGTCCTTGCTTTGGCCTCTGAGATGATGGATTTACATGCAAACACTATGGAAGGGCTCTTTGGAGACCCCTTCCATGAAATAGACAATATAAAAACGACGGCAGAAAAAAGAGCCACAGGGGGGTTATGATGGACTTTCTGGCTGTAAGGCCTGTTTTTTTATTTCCGTGAGAGGCATTCAACAAATGTCCAGAATGGAAAAAGCCCGACTCTAAATACGATTCTAGTCACACGTTCATACCCATCCGTAAGTTCTCTGTAGTCTCCTGTGAGTTCCTCCCTATGTTTCGTCCACTAATTATGTCCTTGTTGATTTCTTTGTGTTTTTCTCATGTTAAGTTTACTTTTGTTTGAGTTTTTTCATGTTTACATCCTTATTTGTAATGTTATTATAAGTATTATCTCCTGAAACATCAACTCAAACTTAAAAAGTGACATACTTTAGTTTTTGTCTTCATGAGATTGGTAACACTTTTATCCAGTAGTTATTAAATCTTTTTTTTTTTTCAAACGTCTCTTTCTTTAATAGTGGAATTCTCCAGGCAGTGGAAGCAGGGGTGTGTGTGTGTGTGTGTTATCCACTGTAAGCCTTTTGAAGGCGTATGTTATTGTGCCCGCAAGGAACTAAGGATCCATTAGTCCTTTCCAAAGGATTCTACTTTTGTTTTTGCTTAAGAAACATCTCAAAGAAAAATAGTTTCTGTCCGGAGAGAAAGTTGGCGGCATTTTCAACATTTCTTCAAACAGATGAGCACACAATAGATGAACACAGTCTCAGGCATTTTGTAAATGTGTCACAAAACGTCTGTTTTTGTGAGTCAGCTGGCTGAAAGGCCTTTCAAACATTAGTAGTTTAAAGGGGTTGATAATGCAGCAACTCGAAAGATTTTTTTGGCTCGTCATCCCCTTTTTGCCTGCAAATGTTATTGGATTTTCCAGTTTAGTTTTGTCATTTGATGGTCGTCATCGTCCTTTCTTCAGTTTTATTTTGCAAATGCATGAACTTTTGCAGATGACAGACCCTTGGGTGTTTCATTTGTTGACTTCTTATTGTTTTTCTGTTTTCACACTTTTTTTTTCCTCTGCTTTTCCCACCATTTAGCTACAAAAGTGTTCGGCCATATTCACGATCATAAAGTAAAGCATAACAAGACTCTGCACTCAGTCTGAGTACCGGTTTTTGTAATTTCAGATGATAAATATTGCCTTTGCCTTTACTTTTGGATTGGGTTTAGGCATTTAAAGATATTTAGGGTAAAAAAAACAAACATCATGGCTCGTCATTAATTCTTAGACTCTAAAGTATTACAGAAAAATATAAATTTCTTGAAGGAAAATGCTAGGAAAAGGGCTTAAAACCTTGGGCTATAGAAAATTGTGAAATTGACTTGTAACAAAAAACCAACGCCCAACATTTCTATTTTTCTTCGTGCCACCAAGCATGACTTTCAAATTAATGTATTTCTGCCGGCCATCTGGTTTGCGGGTCCGGCTGAGTGGGTGGGACTCCAAATTATGGGATAAGATATCTCAGGATCATTTCTAATGCCAGCCATGTTTTCTTAACCTCAACCAACTTGTTTTTAATACCTGACCTCAATCAAGTAGTTTTTGTTGTGTATATAAGCTCGTAAAGGCAGAAACAACATTTCAATTACAGTAAGCTCCTCGAGAGAGAAAGAGGGGACTGTTGGTGGGGCACCTCCCCAAACCCCTCCGACTATCCAATGTGGACTATTATGTCTAATGCATATAACAAGAACTATGTAAGACTTAAAAATTCCTGGGACATTGAGGTGTAACACTGTGACTTTGTGGCCTTAGTTTTAGTTGATGTAGCGTGAAAAAACTGAGAAAATCAAGAAAAAAAAAAAACGATTTAGACAAAATTCAGTGAAATAACTTTACGTCACTAATTCACATTTTGCCAGACCTGATTGCCACTTAACCCCTTTAAAGCCCGATCCAAGAAAAATAGGAAGAATTTTGGATTTCTTTTAGTCTGAAGTCTTTCTTTGGCCCCTCAACAACATATCAAGGAAAAAAACAGAAATTATTTTGATCAAATTAGCGTGCAATTAGTCAAAAATATATTTTCGTGTGGTCTTGTACTTGCTGTTATCAGGTATATCTGAATGTGTACAACAGGGGTTTGAGCAAAGCTTTTACCATTGAATGATGCAAAAAGTCTCAGATCCAAAAGACTTCAGAAAACGTATGTATCAAATATGATACATTTAGCATTATAGGGTTAAATCAGTGGAATGAATCCTTCCGTGTTATTGGCTGTCACGGTTGCACAGGGGCGAGGACTCAAAGTGCAAAACTCCACTCAGGTCTGCATTCAGCGATCCTTTAACATGCAGTCCAGGGTAAATACCACAAGCAATTGTCCAGAGATGAAGTATCCAAGAGTGCGGAGGCTAAAAGGAAAATCCCGAGTGCAGACTGGGTCCAAAAATACCAAGAAGACAAGGTAGAAATAAATGCCAACGTGAAAGACAAAGATGAGCCGGCCGAGGGAAGCTGCACGGGATAATGAATAAATGAGCACAGGTGGAAAACATTAGGGTGTGGCGGAGGACGATGACCAGGGGGTGTAATGTAGTCCAAAATGAGACAGGAAATCAGCACACAAAATAGAACAGGAACATTGCAACCCAAATGTGACGCAGTGTGTGGCAGATTTGGAGTTGGACCCGAATGCAAAACACGAACAGTTGCAGCAGATAAAGGAGGACTAGTAACATTTATTTCAGTAAATAAACTGAAACAAAAGACAAGGCCAAGCTAGAAACTCCCACACTAAACTAGAGAAACGAAGAATCCGCAAAAGATACAAGAACTAGACCAAAAAACACAAACGTGGAAGCCAGTTGGCAAAGCCAGGGATGTGATTATAACAGCGAGGACCTGACCAGGACTGAGACAAACTGTTTAGCTTAAATACAGAGGAGGGTGATTGGTGAATGGAGGCGTCACACAAGGAAGTAGAGCTGGTTATCAGAACAGGAAGGAATTGAATAAGTATAGAGAAACTATGAAGATGAAAACAAAGTAAGGATACCAAGCTGAACAACCAGAAATTAACTTTAAAAAAAATACAAAATGGCTAAAAAGGGTCAATTTGAGCGAGAAAAACTTGGAGCAAGAAGTCAGGAAGGAAATGATAGAAAGACAGAGACATGCAGCATGCAAACAGAGACCACTGATGAGAATCTGACAGGGAGGGGGGAGAAACTGGAGAGCCTAAATACAGAGGAGGGTGATTAGTGGTTGGAGTAGTGGCAAAGGTGATGGGAGTGGAGTTAATAACCAGGGAGGAAAGACATTAAGAAGACTATGGGAAAGAACAACAATGAAAACAAACGAAGAGCATAGAAAAAAGGAGTAATCTACATGTAAAAATAAACACCAGAATACATGGAAGAAAGGTAAGCAAACCCCCAAAACAGCTAAACTTAGTGAAAAAGTCATCCTGGAAAAAAACAGAAACCAAGAAAAAAAAAGTCCACAAAATCAGTCATCTCTGACAAAAAATATTTTCAAACAAAATTAAAAAAAAAAAAAATTAAAAATAAATAAATAAATATATATATATATATATGTGAGTGAGATAATAGAAAACAAAAGTGTTCTGATGCAATTTCAAATGCAACACATAGGAAAAAATCAAACTAACAAAGAACACATATATATATATAAAAAGAAAATCAAAACAAAGAATTAGCAGATGCATGATAACGTATTCCCGGTGAATTTTACATTCATCACCTCTGTAAAGTTTTATTATTCTATGTCTGCAGCAGACCTGAGCAGCTGAATTTAGGCACAGCTCTGTAATTCTGTGGAATTATTCCATTATTTACCTTCAAAAAAGATATTCACGTTCATCTAACTCGCCAATAATATCTGTCCGTTATGCAAACTCACCCAAGAATCAGTTAGCCGCATGTTGATCAAGAGTTTTTCTCCTTTTTCTCTCCCTATTTCGAATAAACCAGTGGTCCAATACTTTGGCCCCTGACAGATGCAGCCTCAGTATGGCTGACTGGTAATTTATAATAGACAAACAGTATAGAAACTTACTCTCTAACTCATTTTTATGACTTTATAGAAGATTTCTAACACATTTCCTTTCAACAACATTGCACTGGAAGGGGAGATGTACTGTAGCTGTTTTGGGGATAGGTGGGAATAAACTGACATCTGGAAAAGCAACAGATCCCGACAGCTTAAGCAGAGTCTTAAAGAAGCCAAAGCAAGTGATTCTTTTAACAGCCTTTTTTTCAGGAAAGTACAAACAACAAAACGCACACTATTAAAAATGTATGAGCATCATTCTACTGAGTTCTAATAAACTGTAATGAGTACCAGGGAAAAAGCCCCGTTTCTTGGGTTCTATTGTATCCTCGTATGCTGTGCATCTAATCAAGAAAGACACTTTTAACAACCAAACACATGGTATCCACCCAAAAACCAGAGATATGAGGATTTCTTGTGTTACACTGTTTGGAAATGTGAGAAGCCCTGGGAATTCTATGAGGAATAGAGGCTTATGAGATTGATTATCCACAAAGTTATTCCTGGAACAAGCTTTTATTCAATTTCTATATGCCTGCGTTCTATCAAGAAACACATTCAAAGGTTTGAACTCAAAATTAATTTACCCCGACTACTCCGCGAGCTTTGCCAGGCTGACACTTGTTATTAAAGTTCGGGATGCTGATAATTGCTGCCGAAAGCTTTTATACTTGCCTTTTTAGATTGGATTGATACGAATGCTATGCGCTTAGGCAATCAATCTATCCCGTATCCTGCGGATACAGTCACTGCAATT